AGCCTCTCTATGAACTGGCAGGAGTGATATCCTTATATATTAACAGTGTACACTCTTAAGGTGTCTTTTAACCCTGCCAGAATTAGGAGGCAAAACCCCAAGGCTGATACTAGCACATAGTCATTCTTTTATGCAAGCATATAAAAGTGTGAAATGTTGCCTGTTAAAGCTCTAGAGCGCATTGAGTCAGCTCTCCTTAAAATGCCTGCAGTTCTTCTGTACAAATTAGATGATTTAAGGATTATGTTTCACTGTATAATATAAATTTACAAATAATTTTTTTTTAAAGAAAGGGAGGATTTTTAGTTTAGTCTAGTCCTACAGGGCTACAGGTTGCTTGTCTATTTAGTGTCTGTGACCTATTCTCCACATTTTTCACATAAAGTGTGGATACCTAAATGTAGTATTGTATGACAAGGAATTTGTATGTTTGTTCTGATTGTCTTTCTCAGTGAGTTGGTTTTTTTTTCATGGAAGTCTTCAAGCCTTTTTTTTAGGATATGACATCTAGAGAATGCTTTGAAGACTAAATGCTCTAAAAGCACCAAGTGTGTAATTTCTTTCTTAATAATAACTAAACATATTTTTTTTGGTAGTTTTGTTTTAGGAGTATTTTGAACTAGGAGATTGTAGATTTAGAACAGATACTTGCTTTGTTACATATCTACATTCAATGTGCCCATGGTTTTTGTTGTTTCAAATACAGTATATATCTGGATAGATGCATGGTTCTGGATAGATGCATGGTGTGCCCTGAATATGTATATATTAAAAAGCTCTTGTTTCTAGATCCATATGGCTTTTATATGAATGTGAAGCACAAAGGTTTACTGAATTTGAAATCCTAAGCATAATTAGAAAATGGTAGTATTGTGACTTAATAGAAGAGCAAGGTAACAGTGCAGCTATGCAAATTTGCATAAGAAATCACAACTTCTCTACAAGAGATTATATATTGCTGAGTGGAGCAAAAATCTCTGGAGGTGTTCTTCCTACATATGTACTCACCTATTTGTTATCCACAAATGCTACTCATTTGGCTATACTTACGTTTACTCTTACTATTCAGCCCTTGAATTTTGAGTGTTGGAGTGTGGTGTTTGTGTAAATGTTTTCTTCTAGAAATACAGCCTAATATTTTAAATTTGTGCTAGCACCTTCTTGGAAATTAAGTGATAGTTTGTTTTTTGTATAGCTGATAAGCGGACATTTTTGACTGACAACCAGGGTTTATATATATACTATACATAGACACACATGCACATATATGCATACACACACACATATATTCTATGAATTCAAGTACTAGTAAAGTACAGGAAAAGAGTGCAGCAACTTTTGATACTGTATAGGTTATGGATATCACTTCTGCTCTGTTTATATGGAGTTCATAATCTGATGAAGAGCTATATATGTATACATAGAGTGAGACAGGCAACTGGTCTCTGGCATGTGAGTCTGAAAGATGATCGTGCTGGTTGTAAATATGGCATAATATTTGCTATTCATGTGCTATCTGCTCACTGGTTTTCTGTTTGGAGGAAGAGGTGAATCCTGGAGCAGGATAATTTACTTTTGATTGGTTTGACAGGTGTGATGAAATGCAAATATTTTGATCAGATTAACACGATGGCTGGAGTGCTGTTGGAAGATGGCCGTGTCAAAAATAGATTGGAGTCGGGTTCAGATTCAAAGCAGTTGTTATATGGCATTGGAGCTTGTAAGGAAGCTTTCTCAAGAAAAGCATACTAAATTAATGAAGGGAAAACCAATTTGGTATTCAACAACCTTGTGATGTAGAACTCGAGCAAAGCAAAAATCAGGCTTTGTTGTATTATCTGCATAGAAAACTTGCTGTTCTTTGCTAATAACTATGGTACTTTTTGGTCATTGACTCTGATTTTTCCATGATTTTCTGTTATTGCGTGGGAAGCAAAGGGGTAGAACTCTCAGCCATGGTTAGGCAGTCCTACTGATGAATGCAATTCATATGTCTGTGGAGAAGAATATTTTCACTATGCATGGGGTTTATTCTGGATTCTGAGAAATTAGTTATCTGATACAGTGTTCCAAAAGGGAATACATGAATAGAGAGGCATGTCTGGAGGTCTCTGGAAAGGTTTCTGCATATGAATATATCAAAAGGCGTTGCTTGAGCAATTTAGCTTTATATGCTTTTTAAGAAAATTGAGGGTCATTTGATGTATTGGAGCATCAGCTTTATAATTTTGGTTTGATGCTTTTTGTCATATTTTTTTATTTTTGGATTTTCCTCCTTCACTAAGACTTGAATTTTCTTTTTTAAAGGAACAATGTAGTTTATATTATTTTTCCACCTCTTCTTCACCTAGACAGTATTAAAAAAAAATAAATCTGAGAAATGCTGTGATTTGGGAGGAAGAACTTAAATTTTGTTTAATTAAGTGAGTATGGATTTCACTTTACCTTTCCCAGACCTTCACACTTAATGCACTCTGATCAGTGTAGTGCATAGGTTAGCTAATAGTGTAGATTTTGTATATATTGTAGCAGGGCTCTCAGCTGTGTAGGCAATTAATCAATAGAATGCTGCATTTAGCTGCAGGTTCAGGCCGGCTGCTGTCAGAAGGCGATTCCCTTTTTAGTTTCAGGGGAGGAATACACATACACACGACATTTGCAAAGTAGCACCTGGTTATGGTGAAGAAAAGTAAAAGTGGGCAGAGGGCGACAAACTGCTGCCAACAGTAGTTTGGCCATTCCTTGGAGGGAAGATGCTGCAGCTCCTTCCTGTGCTCCGACAGGCAGAACTTCAGAGCTCGGCGCTGCCCGTGTCTCCTCCTGCCAGTGTTTTCTCTTGCCCACCTCTTTGCTGGGGTGTGCGTTGCTTTTCCCCCTGTTGTGAGAAGCTGTCAGCTGTGCAGTGCTGGGAGTGGGGTCATTGTATGACAGTATTTAGGGAAACCACTCCAGCAACACGTACATGGCTGGCGAGAAGGTAGCCCTAGAACAGCAGCCCTCACGGCTGCGCTCAAGTGTACAAGGTGCGTGTTACGGGAGTCCATGAGAAACAGGATTTTTTTGTTAGAGGCAAGAATTGGTATCCTCCTTGCTAATGGAAGTATTTGTCTTTGGATTCTGTCTGTGTTTGTATGATAGGCTATCTTAACTACCAATGTATTTTTAACTTTTACAGAATTGGAAGATGAGGAGGAGTCTGAGGGCTCTTTTTCTTCGCCTCCTGATAGTGTCTCAATAGCATCTGAGCGATATGATAAAGAGGATGAAGCACCCTCTGATGGTATGTGACACTGTTTACCTTAGAATGTACTAGATTTGCCAGTTTGCTACAAACTCACATAATTGGATCCTCGTTATGCGAATGTTAGTGTTGGAAATCAGATAAACAGATAAGCATCACAGCTGGACAGTTTTCTTACCTCTGCAAGAACCTTTAAAGGAACTGAAGAGCTCTCTCTAGTGGTCCTAGAGCAAAGTGAAGCTGTCTCAAATTCACACGGTTTTTTAAACTCCTGTTTTTTCATAACAAAGCATCTTCTGTAGATGCATACGTTTTTAAAGATAGATCAGTGGCTAAACCAGTGTGAATATTTGTAGTAACAAATTGTTTGTTAATTTAACATTATCAGATTCTTGCTTAATTTTATTGTGCTGCTTAATGGCTTACTGTATTATTTATCTAATAAATAATGAAACAGTTTATATGATTGATATTTTTCTGCAAACTCCATGCTGAATAGGTTCATAAAATATTAAATTAATTATTCCTACAATGTTTCCTTCCATTAAAACAGTCTTTTGTAGAATGTTTTCATTATATAAATTTTAAATTTGAGTTTACATTAAAAAAAAAAATATCTAGGATCCATAGCTGTTTTCCATGTTGTTTTATTTTGTATTCATTAAATTTAATGCTAAATGCGACTGTTCTGAAGACATGAACAATTGAATATTTCAACAGTTAACAAGCTTGCTTTAGCATAGTGTCCATATTTTTGAGATTCGTTTATCGTATACATAATATAAATACCTTCTATGGATAATATAAGGCAATAAATTAAGTATATGTACAAATAAATTAACGATGTGTATTAATTTGTGGCACTGGAAGTTAGATAGACTTACTAGTGAATGATGTTTTCTGACATGATATGATGATCAAACTGTGCAGCTCCATCTCGAAATACAATTGCTGAATGAAAATATGCTTCCTGCAACATAGCACTCCACATTTTATGTTATCCAGATTATTCCCTTTGGAAACATAAATTGCTTTTATGAGGTATAAAATTATGTCTATTGCAGAACAGGGATAAGTCAAGTACATGCATAAGTGATAAACCTTCTAACCACTGATTCAGAATAATGCAATTTTTTTTTATATCCAGAACTCTGTAAAATGTATAACAATAATAATTACTTTTTTTTTTTTTATATTTGGCTTGTTGCATTTTGGCAATGTGACGACCTATTAAAAAAAAAAGAAAACGAAGTCTTTTTGCTTTCTGGTTGAAATGTAATTATCGGTCAAATTGAATATGGCTTTTAGAAAACCCAAGCTAATCTTCCAAACTACAGATGAATGCAACTTTCCATGTATTTATTTTTGCTTACAAACACAATCTTAGCATTATTTCTAATTGTAACTTAATAACATGGTACTGATTGTATAAAGGGTACGTGACAAAATTGTATGACTATTTAATAGGAGATATGATTATAGACTTGTTTCAGAACAGTTAATAAAGAAAAAAGCGATAATGTTCATAAACCTAAATAATGAATGGCTGAAGAATGCTGATGCAAGAGTATATCAAATACTGTATGAATTTGTACAGATGGGTCATTTTTAGCTGGTTTTGAAGTTATAATTAGGAGAATAGGTGTAAGAGCTGCCCAGCAGTATCTTGGCTGATTTGTTCCAGTTTAGGTAGAAATATTGTGGGGGTGATTCTGTTATATTTAAGATGATTTTACCTCACTGGTCTTTCTATGATTTATAATAAATCCTCTTTAATTATCTAGTGGGAGTGTAGCATGAGGAAAAGTTGAGAAAAGGTGGTAGGTTGAATGAAATGAAATACTTTCATTTATTGGAGGAATGTTTCTGTTTTCCTCTCTGAATGCCACTGTGTCATTCTAAGACCGTTTTGATTTTAAAATATATAGTCCATCATTCAAGTCTAGCCACATAGACTATGTATGAAAATACATGTTAGGAGACTTATAAGAGGTGGACAGATCCTTGGAGGTGCGTTTGTTTCAGTTCTCATAGGCATGAACGGGTTGGTTGAAGCGTAATACTGTATTTTTTGTTTTAGCAGTCTGTTAATGTTCAATATTTAAATCCTACTCAAGAAGCTGGGTAGATGTTTGGTCTTACGTCATTACCAGTTTAGTT